TCCGAACAGATCAACGAATGCTGGAGGGATTGTTCTTGCTGCTAGCGGACTGAAAGCGTCAACAAGCCCAAGAGTAGAAGCAGTCGCTGCAGCTCCAAACAGCCCCAGTGTTAGCACTGGCACCATCGATTGAGCTCCCTCTTTCATGCACTATTTCAGAGTTTTGTTTGCTAAATTCTTCACCTCTTAGCTGAATAGCATTCGCAAGCTGGAATTTGTGCCCATTTTGTCGAACTGTGCGTGTCCTCTCCTTATCAAATTTGCCGTTTATTTGGCAGAATTTGTCGCCCAGTTCAGCCAGACTGCATCTGCTTAGTAAGATTTTGCGCATACTCGACAAGATTTTGCTGTCTGGCAAATATTATAATGCTTATTTATTCGGGCAACTTTGCCCTAGCTTCACGGGCGGGTAAATAATTTAGGGAAAGGAAAAAAATGTTGACGAACTTTTGTCATGTGCATCTCGAATTTTGAGATATTTCGTGTGTGGTTGCCCTCATTTGTGTCTGGCTTGTGCTTTGTTGCTGTAGAATTCCGGCATTTACACTTTTGCATCAGAATAGATCTGCACTCGAAAATAACCTCTTCGGTCAAAATAACAATCGTCGGTGACGCGCACCGGGCCGCCCACGCGATCATGCGTTTTTGTAGTATTTCGTGCTGTATTGAGATCGCTCGGAAATCCAATAGCTAGAATGTGTAAAATACTGGTACTCGAAGCTAGGGAAGTTAATTGTTACGCGGTACTTGAACAGGGAACATTTCATTAAAATTTCAATTTTCCAGCTTTCCTAGTTCCCGAGTTAGCCATTTTCCCGCCAAAAGTTTTTACGGGGCCATACGTGGGAGCTACGCACAGAGTGGGACTGAATTTAGTAACTTTAAGTTATACTTGTGCTGGAAACATTCCCTGAAGATCCCAGCTCCCTAGCTTTCTTGGTTCCTGAATTAGCCATTTTCCCGCCAAAAAATTTCCCGGGGCCATACGTGAGAGCCACGCATGCCTGGGGGTTGAATTTGATAAATTTCAGTTGCACATGAATTGGGAACATTCCCTTAAAATATTAACTTTCTAGCTTTCCTGGATCCCAATTTAGCGATTTTCCGCCAGAAACGTTCACGGGGCCGTGCGTTAGAACCATGCATGCTTGGAGGCTGAATTTGAAATCTTAGATTTCTGTATGGACGAGGAACATAACTGCAAACTTTCAGCTTTCTAGCTTTTCTGGTTCTCAAATTAGCGATTTTCCCGCCAAATTTTTCACCCTGTCGTACGCCGAGCCCGACTTGCCTGGTACCACAGTCCTGGGATGACACTTGGCCGGGAAACCCAGTGGCAAAATTTTGGGGCCGGAGCTTGCTTGTTTGCCGAGCTGAAATACCCGGACAGATGTGCTCGCACGCACGCACGCACGCACGCACACGCACACACACACACAGACACACACACATCGGGATCGTCACAATATGCGTTTTCATTGCATTTGCATGTAAGCAACCCAGATTGGAACGCATCAGGCTTGCCGGTGCGATCACGTGTTTTTGCATCAGATATGAAGCAATCAGGTTGCTAACTGCGTGAGTGTTTGTTGCTCTACACCTGCCTTGCACGTTCACTAGTGTAAATCACTGTATATTATGCGTAAAGGAAATGAACAATTTTCGTTTAAAATCATTCTTTGAAAATCCAGTTTTTTTAAAATCATTTTTTGAAAATTCAGCTTTTCCGCTTCTCGAATCAGCGATTTTTCTGCCAAAACTTTCACGTACCCATACGTGAGAGTCAGACACACCTAAGGGCTGATTTTGAAATTTTCAACACACACAAGCACAGGGAATATTCCTGTAAAGTTTCAAGTCATTATTATGCGTTTTTATTGTGCAGCACTATGGCGCTGCTACGCCTGCAAAAACGCATATTGTCGAAAGGCTGGCTGTGTGCGTGTGTAGTGTGTGTGTGTGCCTGTGTGTGTGTGCCTGTGTGTGTGTGTGCCTGTGTGTGTGTGCCTGTGTGTATGTGCCTGTGTGTGTGTGTTCGGAAACGAGTGCATTTTGTCATCCACTTTCAACTCGGCAACCAGGAAAGCTGGGGTGCTGAAACTTCGGATATATGTTCCTACCCCGTGTCACTTTCATCTCAGCAACCAGGAAAGCTGGGAGGCTGAAACTTTGGATATATGTTCCTACCCCGTGCGTCATCCTCCCGCTTTAAGATCTTTCCCCATACGAGCCTAGACCCCGCGTACAGGACCCACATAGAAATAGGTTGATGGGAAACGATTTCGCGAATCAGGCAAGGTAGAAAGCCGAAACTTTGCAGGGATATTT